ACACCTCCTGTTTTGGATATGTTTCCCAACATCTGATTTGGACTCATAGAAAGAATGATCAGTTTGCAAACCTTTGAAAGGATCTGGATTTGAAAAACAGCAGCGGCAGGCAGGCTCAGCAGCAATGAAAGCAATTGGAAAGAGCTGGTTTTTAGTGCCAGATAGTTTGCTTTGCTACTAAACAGTATAATCTTGACAAACCAGAGTGAGTGTCTAAAATAAACTATAAAATTATGGCACAGTGCTGTCTTCCCGATCTCAAAGGGGTAAAGGGAGGGCTTCTTCCACTGTGTAGCTGAAAAGCCTTTTTAAAATCTCTGACAGTTCTAAGAAGCGGCTGCATAATGTGAAAAAACTCACTGTTCTATTACTCCTGCCAAAGCTGTGCCAAACAACACGCCTCGCGCTCTGTGAGGAAGGCACAGAAAAGATGTTTTGAAGTAAGGTGGGCCCTCCCTGGCCTCCATCCGCAGCATGATGTGCCTCTTTGAACAGCCTGTTCCACTGCAACAGAGGATGGTCAGTGTGATCCTTCAGAGTTCCTGGCACAGCTCTGAAAGGGGGTTAGTCAGATTTGCGGGGGATCAGTCAGTCCATCCATGGCTAGTAATGAGAGCTGCATGAAACTTCCACATTCAGAGGCAGTCTAACATTCAGAGCCAGTTATGGGGGACAGAAAGCAATAGCAGGAGAATGTGACCTCCCTCTGCCCACAGCTCAGCTGTGTTACACACACTGGTATTAGTGGCAGGACATACTGCAAGAGCAACCAAAGTGGCAAATGTTTTTAGGGTGCCAATGAAGCAGCATGCGGCTCAAGAGGTGTGGCTCAACATCCTCTGCTAAGCTGCAGATTCAGGAGCTGGGGGGGGGCTGAGCTAGGAACCCTTTGCCTGTGGGGCATGCAAGCTGAAAAGCCTCTCATGGGGCATTGAAGGGTGTGCTGTGCAATGTGAGAATTGTGTTGTTGGGACATTGGATGTTTTGAGGGTCTTGGGTTCCCAGTGAATGCTCTGCAACTGGTCCCACCTGCAAAGGATCCTGGACTATGCTCCTCAGGTCTTACACTGCCATTATTTGGAGCAACAAAACATCCTGAGAGTGGTCAGGTGGCTAGCCTTTGGTCATGTTCACACAACACTGTAAGCCGTAAACCACTTGATTTCCTCCTGGCTTGTGCTGAGAGTAAACAAACCATTATCCCTGGCTTGGACTTACACCCCAGCCTTGACAGTGTACTCTGAGGAAGCTCTACACAGACTCATCAACCATTTTGCCCAAGCCTGCATGGAGTTTGGCCTTATGCCCCGCAAGCTCAGTGTCGCTTTGCAAGACTTGCAAAAACGATGCAGGATGCCCCAAGTAGGTGTGCAGCCTGGACCCTGCAAGCTCAGCGCTGAAGGATGCAACAGCTCACAACGGGGCAGGGTGCTGTGATGTGCCCCCCAAAGTGCACCCAGGGTGATGGCCCCCTCAGCCCCTCCCCACACTATGCCACTGAGCACTCCACACAAATCAACATTGGTTACCACATTCTTTAGGTGGTAGATGATTTTGTCTACTTAAGCTCCACCATAACCAGCAACCTCTCAATTGACACTGAGCAGGACAAGTGCATTGGCAATGCAGTTGTGGCACTGACTCAGCTCTCCAAAAGAGTATGTGTGAATGTGAAGCTAACAACCAATACCAAGATGAAGATCTACCAGGTTTGTGTGTTGAACACGCTGCTTTATGGAAGTGAGTTGTAGGTAACTTATAACACTCAGGAGTGTTGCCTAAACACTTTCCGCATGTGCTGCGTCGGGAAGATTTTGGGCGTCAAATGTCAGGACAGAGTCTCAAACAAAGATGTGCTCTCTCAAGCCCACATTCCCAGCATGTTCACACTCCTGTCTCAGCAACATCTACACTGACTTGGTCATGTCCACAACTTGAAGATGGCAGGATCCCCAAGGATGTGCTCTATGGGGAGCTGGCTTCAAGTACCAGGCCCATTGGCAGACCAGTTTTGCATTACAAAGATGTCTGCAAATGTGACATGAAGGCTGGCAACATTAATCGTGCCATGTGGGAATCCCTTGCAGATAACCGTAGCACCTGGAGATAATCAGTCTGATTGTGTATCCACAGCAGTGACCAAAGGAGGAATGACCCCTGGGAGGAGCACAGAAAGAAAAAATGCCATCATGCACCAGCATCAGCACAACGGGATGCCTTCAACTGCCCCAGCAGCAACAAAACATGTCACTCTCATATTGGTCTCTACAGCCACAGCAGGTGCTATAACTCTCCAATGGTCTGACTTCACCCCCAAAGGCACACTCTTCCATTGTCTCCCGAGACAGACGGGTGCCGACAACAACACTGACTTACATTATAAATGAGCAGCAGCAGCAACAACAACTGAGTCACAGGGAAACACAGAAAAAGCAAGAGTGGAATGGAAGGAGAAATCATAGCTAGATGTTTCAGATCCCTCATGGAATTGGCGGAAATGACTGGTAGGATCCGAGACCAGGGAGAAGAGTCAGTGGAAGAAGACTGGAAGAAATTTAAAGACTATCTACTGAGACATTGTAAAATCAATGAATGTTAGAATGATGTTGGATTGAAATTAAGTGGTTTCTAGCTGTAATGGTATAAAAGAATATGAAAAAATGGTTTTTTATAAGTAAAAATTCAAGGTTATAATAATTTAAGATTAAAGATTTGGCTAGAAGAAAGAGGGAAAGAAACTGCTGAGCTAATAAATTGAACTGGAATACAAAAAAGGGAGGTACAAGGAGGTCCGAGAAACAAGTAAATGGAAAATAATGTGATGAAAAGATTGATTGTTTTTAAATATTTTTATTTTGTATTTTGTATTTTTTCTTTTTCTATTTTGTAATGTAAAAATCTTAATAATTTTTTTTTTAAAAAATCATAGCTAGATGTTTCAGATCCCTCAGCAAAAAGAAATAGACTGGTGGTGGCTCATAGGTTGAATGGAGTCCACCAAGACTCTCTATCAAACTCCCAGGACTTTCTCCAGGCCACAATCCACATCAAACCTGCTTCACACTCTGCTTAATTGCCTGTGCCAAGCTAGACTACGTCTTTACATTTTAATAATGCCTCTTGTGCCCTGGATGGAGGATGGAGATGGGGGGCACTAAGTCCCTGAAAGAGCTGTTTCCAGTCAGAGTAGACCAGACTCCCCCTGACATCTGGTGCCCTACAAATGTTGCTGGGCTCCTAATGCCACCAGTCCCAGCCAGCATGGCCACTGGTCATGGATGATGGGGGTATCTGGAGCATGCCAGGTCAGAGAAGGCTGGAGTAAGCAACTCTGGGGTAGACTGACATGTGGTCTGGCTTAGCCTATGAATGAAACTTCATGTATGTTACCATGGGTGCCATTAGGGACCATTGGGACTGAAAAATGATCTGCCAAGGAGCTATGATCCCTCCCCATAGGAGGTCCCAGGCTCAGTCCCTGGAATCTCCAGGTAGAAGGATCAAGTAGCAGGTGAATGGAGGAGGCAATGCAGGGCTGGATGGACAACAAATAGCCCACCCTGTTGTAAGACATTTCTGCATTCTCAAGAACGCATGTGTATGCATATAATGTGCATGTCAAGGAGTAATTTAGCTGGTGATTGAACCAGCCTGCAGTCTTAGGAAATACAGTCAAAATTATAGGAATAAACATGGAATGGATGAATCTGCCAATTTTGGCTCCCCCTCATTGTTCCAGTCTCAGATTTGGTTTCATGCACCTAGGCCATCTTTTGCAATTAAAAAAGACAGTCCTCCCAAACAGTTGTCAGTATTTTAGTGACTATTTATCCTAACGTTTTCATTTAGGATGCAATTTTGCCTAACACACACATTTTTGCAAGCAATTTTCCTTAATAGAATGCATGTTTTGTGTTGTTTTCACAAATATATGTGTTTTCTGCAGACTTTCCCATAGCATGTTCGGAGATGTGCCTTGCTTTGTGTTTTGTTTTCAGTAAGGGCAATTTTAGAAGGTTCACATAGAAAGTTTTGCAACCATAATCAAATCTCTCTCTCTCTGCCCCATTCTTGTTAGATCTGAAACTGGCCTTGAGCAAGGCAGTGGCGAGCCAGTGAATGGCTCAGACCCCCCCCAGGTGGGTGTGTTTTTGGTCCACAACCGTGTTTTCACAGAATCTTGTACAAAGAAGGATCATCTGCCATGCTGCAAGATACCCCAAGTTCCACCTCCAAAGGGCAGCAGCCTGCTTTTTCTGACTCACAGCAATAAACATCCCTGATCACTGGTACAATTACACCTACAATTTTTCAAAGAATATGATGACACCTATAAGGAAGAAAACAATAACTAGCTTTCAGAAACACCTGACAGTTCAATGTGCAGAAGCAGTATGCTATTTTTGCTTTCCTTGTGTGGGAGAACAAATGATCAACAAATTGTCATGGACAGGGAATTTTGCCGATTGCTCCCTTCAGTCAACTGGTCTTTAGCTGCTGAGCTGTGACCCAAAGGCAGTCATTCCCCATCAGTATTGCTACCATTTTCTCATTGTCCTCTTCGAAGTGGGGAAGGCAAAAGGATAGTGGAGAGAAAACGAGAAACAGACCTCCACTAGAGACTTTGCCTGAGTCATTGTTTTGAAAATGCTGGTCTTTTACTGTGAAGAACTGAACGTTTTAGGCTGGGATGAAGTCTTTGCAAAACACCTTGTTGATTACTATGGGTGTTGTGCGTGACTGGAGAGGAACCATAACACAGTGCGTAGAATCTGCAGCAGCCTTGCCCAAGCTCCGGTCCTCCAGATATTTTGGACTATAACTCCCATCAGCACCAGTCAGCCCAGCTGTATGATGTGAGAGCTGATGGGAGTTGTAGTCCAAAACGTTTGGAGGTCCTCAGGCTGGGTAAGGCTGATCTACATATTATATTCAGTCCCAAAGCGTACAAAGCTTTGCAGAAGCTGCTAGAGAAATAACAACAACGAAGAAAAAATTACCTTGTAACCCGACCTCTGAGATCTCCCAGACCAGATAACTGACGCATCTCCAGGCTCTTCAGTGTCGAATTCGTTCCGTAACTGAGGTTATCCCTGACACGGATCTGTTCCTGTAGAGCCTATAATTGCAGAGGAGTGAAATGGGCAACTCCTCTCTTAAGTGTGTGGTGCAGAGAGGCTGATGGAGTGCGTCAGCTGTCAAGAGTCCTTCACACATGCTCCAGTTGCCCCGGGGTTTGACCTCAGGACCCATAATTCCCATGCACATTCATGCATCTCCCTAAATCTCTTATCGTAGACCATGCTGGCTGGGGCTGATGGGAACTGTAGTCCAAAAACTACTTGGGCACCAGGGTTAGATAGAAGGCATGGAGAACGGACCTATCACTGGCAGTTTTGTTGATATTCAGAGGCACTCTGCTGCTACATACCAACTGCAAAGGGAGGGTGCTCCCTTCATGTTAAGCTTGTGGGCTACTCAGAGGTATCTGGTTGGCCACTGTGGCAAGGAAGATGCTGGATGAGAGAGGCCTTTAGTATGCCTCTTATTATGTGCTGACTGTGTATACATGTTGTTGACACATGGAGAAAGACACGCATGATCAATCCCATCAACCTGGCTTGTAAAAGAACCACACAGTCAACCCCACCAATGTGATTGCATTATTTGCCCATATACCACAGCCAGTTGGGGTTGCTTCACCGACAAGTGGTGTGTGTATGGGGAGGGGGTCCTTTGTGATTGTGGGTGAAAAACCAGAAGGTGGTAATTATGCATCTCAGATATTTTGATTAATTAAAAACAAGTAGACTGCCTGCAATGTACCTTAGTGGGGATGGTAATTATCCCAAACTAATTAACACTGTGTGTAAATGTGTGATCTTATGTGTGTGGTACTTGTGTGCTCTCAAATAGAACTGTAAAGAATTTGTCCCAGTTCTTCCTGTAAATAAGCCTGCACCAAAGCCTAAGGGCAGGTACATGAAACAATTGCATGTTTCTTCCCTGTTTATGTCCTAAGTACCGTATTTTTCGCACCATAGGGCGCACCGGACCATAGGGCGCACCCAGTTTTTTTGGGGGGAAATAAAGGGAAAAAAATTATTTCCCCCCCAGGCGCGGGGCTGGGGCGGGGGAAGCTCGAGCTTCCCCCGACCCCAGCCCCCAAACAGGCAGCTCTCTGCAAGCAGCGGGAGCGCTCCCGCTGCTTGCGGAGAGGTCCGCGAAGCCTGGGCGCGCTGATCTCAGCACGCGCAGGCTTCGGCATGCAGGCAAGTCTCTGCAAGCAGCGGGAGCGCTCCCGCTGCTTGCGGAGAGGTGTGCGAAGCCTGGAGAGCGTGAGGGGTCGGTGCGCACTGACCCCTCTCACTCTCCAGGCTTCAGTGAAAGCCTGCATTCGCACCATAGGACGCACACACATTTCCCCTTCATTTTTGGAGGGGAAAAAGTGCGTCCTATGGTGCGAAAAATATGGTACATAGCAGGAGCCTCCCTGGATCAGACCAATGGCCCATCAAATCCAGCATCCTGATCTCACAGAGGCCAAGCAGATGCCCATTATGGGATGCCCACAAGCAGGTCCCGAGTGCAACAGCAGTGCTCTCCCCACCTCTGCATCAGTCTCTACTTCTGTGCAGAAATGGAGACTGTAGGTTCTTTGGCAGCAGCGAACTGTCTACTTGTACACTATAAAGCACTAGGCACGTGGACGGCACTAAACAAGCAATAAATAATAATTTATTTCCAACATTTGTTTTCTCTTGATTAAAAGGGAAACATGAAGAAGGGCTGCAGATTCTTAGGATTGAACCACCTGTGTGCTGTAACTGTTAGTGATGGATAATGACCTGTAAGGCCTGGGTTCAAATTTCCATGAAGCTCACAGGGTGACAATGAGCTAATCACTGTCTTTCAGTCTCACAGGGCTGTTGTTAGGATAAAAATGGGGAAGGGAGAACCAGCTATGCCACACAGAGCTCCTTGGAAGAAAAGGTGGTATATAAACATACTAAGTTTAAAAAAGGAAAAGAAACCACACACCTTCAGAAATTTTAAAATGTGAAGACTGGGTACACCACACCAGCAGAGAATTACCACTGACCTCAATGTCCCGGTTCAGCTGCCTGACGATGGCTGTGATGTTGCGGATGTGCTCCTCCAAGAGCTGCCTGGCCAGCCGGTCCCCTCCGCCTTTGTTCTGCATCCTATGCAGCGTGCAAACAATGTCTTCCTTGATGCGAAAAGCGTGTTCCACAAGGGCGGCTGTCGTCTTCTCATGGCTGAGAATCCTGTCTTCTAGCTGGTCCACGAGTCTCGCTGACCCAAGAGGAATGGCCGTCAGAGCTTGGCTGTGGAGGGGAATGTTCCGGATTCGTCTAAAAGAAGGAAGTGATGGAGATGCTTGGTTTTATGGAGCAAGTACTTATCCGACACCCGCTTACTTCTACAATATCTTATCCTCCCCATCCTCCAAGGAGGTCAATAGAACACCTTCTGCCAATGACACTATGAGGCAGGTCAGCCTGAGAGACAGTGACTGGCCCAGGGTCACCCAGTGAACAGGGAGTGAGCGAGGATTTGAATTTGAATACAAGGTGCAGCACTCTAACCATTACACTACACTGCTCAAGCCATTATAATTAACTGTCTATTGTGCACCAGAATCAGCCAGGATGTGCACTGGTCTGTGTATTGTGCAGCATTGTTGTGAGCCATGAGAGGAGCAGGATTATGCTCCCAAGGACCAGAAGGGTAGTGAATCAGTTCCCCTCATCTGGGCTGGTGAAAATTGATTTTGGGTCAGGCTCAGATCTTCACCTCAGCAAGAGCCAAATTCTGGCCTTGCCTATGTGGCTTTTAGTCTCTCCAAGCATCAGTTCTTGTTCCTCTTCTGTCTCCATGTGTGCTGGCCAGTTGTAAGAACCTAAGAAGAGCCTCCTGGGTCTGGCAGAAAGTGGCCCATGTAGAATCTATGATATACTATTAGAGTGGTACACAAAGGACGAGGAGGTGAAGGAGGCAATGATTAAATGGGCAATTGACTTTGGTTATAATATTGATTTCGAAAGGTGGATAGAAGTTTGGAATTGTAACATAAAGTTCACAGCATGTATGGCACTGAGAGAAAATATCTGGAAGATGCTATATAGATGGTATCACACCCCTGTGAAACTGGCCAAAATGTATAGATTAAAGGACAAGAGATGCTGGAAATGTGGCGAGGTGGAGGGTGACCTATATCATTTATGGTGGACATGTAAAAAGGTGAAGGGCTTTTGGGAATCAATTTATAATGAACTTAAAAAAATATTTAAGTATACCTTTCCCAAGAGGCCTGAAGCCTTCTTGTTGGGAATGATGGATAAAGAAATTAAAAAGGAAGATAGGACGATATTCCTCTACGCCACCACAGCAGCAAGAATTATGTTGGGACAATATTGGAAAGTGGAAACCATCCCCAACATAAAGGACTGGCAGATTAGAATGGTAAACTATGCTGAGCTTGACAAATTAACAGGTAAAATAAGAGATCAGGATGAACAGAAATTTCTGAAAAATTGGAGCAAATTTTGGAAATATATTGGAATAAATGTTTAAAGTGAACTGACGGGGTTAGAACAATACGACCAGCGAGTGAATTTAGACTATAGATTGAAAATCAAATACGTAATGGAAGGAGATATTTGATACTTATCAAAAGGATGGAAGGAAGTTCAGATTGTGTGTTTTCTTTTTTTTTGGATGTGTGATTTTGTTTTGTTTTGTTTCTCTTCCTTTTTTCTTTGTAATTTTTTCTTTGTATTTTCTTATATGTCTGTTTTTTGTGTATAACTTCAATAAAAATGCATTTAAAAAAAAAAAAAGAAAGTGGCCCATGTAGTCCAGGACCCTGTTCTCACAGTGACCGACCAGATGCCTCTGGAAAAGTCACAAGAAGGACCTGAGCACATGAGCACCCGCCCCTCCCATGGTTTTCTGAACTGGATTCAGAACCATAAATGCCTCTGACGATGGAGGCAGAGAAGAACCATGATGGCTAGTAGTCATTAATAGCTTTCTCCAACATGAATTTGTCTAATCCTCTATTATACACATCTATCATGTCACCCCTTACTTGCCTTTTCTCTAAACCAAAACCCCCCAAATACTGCAACCTTTCCTCATATGGGAATTGTTCCACCCCCTTGATCATTTTGGCTGCTTTTATCCCATGTTTCCTATCCACTTGCTCTGCAGCCAAATGCATCCTTGGCCTAGTCCTCCTTTGAATACAGCTCTGTGCTCAGATCTTGGCCTGCTACTGATTCCACTGCCTGATGGGCATTGGAGCTTTTGTGGCTTTTAGGAAGTGTCCTACCAGAGACAAGATTAGGGCTGGGTGATATCTGGTTTTCAACATTGTGATACATCACCAACTAAACATTGTGATATACAGTGGTACCTCGGGTTAAGTACTTAATTCATTCCGGAGGTCCGTACTTAAGAAGAAGAAGAAGAAGAAGAAGAAGAAGAAGAAGAAGAAGAAGAAGAAGAAGAAGAGATTGGATTTGATATCCCGCCTTTCACTCCCCTTCAGGAGTCTCAAAGCGGCTAACATTCTCCTTTCCCTTCCTCCCCCACAACAAACACTCTGTGAGGTGAGTGGGGCTGAGAGACTTCAAAGAAGTGTGACTGGCCCAAGGTCACCCAGCATCTGCATGTGGAGGAGCGGAGACGCGAACCCGGTTCCCCAGATTACGAGACTACCGCTCTTAACCACTACACCACACCTGAAACTGTGCTTAACCTGAAGCACCACTTTAGCTAATGGGACCTCCTGCTGCCGCCGCGCCGCTGGAGCACAATTTCTGTTCTCATCCTGAAGCAAAGTTCTTAACCTGAAGCACTATTTCTGGGTTAGCAGAGTCTGTAACCTGAAGCGTATGTAACCTGAAGTGTATGTAACCCGAGGTACCACTGTATCACGATGTCTGAAATAAGGATGGAGCTATGTAGAGGCATTGGCTGGCAGCACGGTTTCCCCCACATTGTAATTCCTGCATAGCACACACACAAACACACACATCATGATTTGCGATGTATTGCCAGGTCAAAAATTATGAAACCGATATCACAATATGGACTTCAAACCGGTTTTGGATGATATATCAATATATCGCCCAGCCCTAAACAAGATCCATTGAACCAGCATCCTCCTTCCCACATCAGCCAATCAGACGTTATCAGGAAGAAACCTACAAGGAGAGCTGGAAGGCAAGAGGCCCCCTCTCATGGCTGCTCCCTAGCAATGGGCAAAAGTCTTTGGGTCCAAACAGGCAAATCCTCTTTTGGCCCCTCTCACACTCAGCTGAGCTAAACCTGAAAATGCACCATCGTGGGGAAACATGAACCCTATGTGTTTCCTGACATGCACTGAACCTGGGATGTTCTGCAAGCAAAGAACCTGTCCTTTTGCCCCTGAGATTTGTCCTGACCCTGTAAGAGCTCCATGGAAGGATGGGCATAGAGTAAATGGGCCTTCCTCACCAAATGTTGTTTGACTTCCAACTCCCATTATTCCCAGCAAGCACATTCAATGGTTTGCAGTGATGCAAGCTGGAGTCCAGCAACATATGGAGGGGACTACCGGATCTGGGAAGCCTTCAATAAATAAATATTTCAAATCACACCCACCCACCCCACACACCCTCTGCCACCCCACCAAAGCCAGTTCCCTCACATGCCTCAGGATACCTTTCAGTTGGGCCGAGTGTGGAGAATATCGGGCTTCGCTGTGCCATCCTCTCTTTCCAAGAATTTATGCCTGTTGGGGAAACAGCAACACAACACGACTGAAGCAGTTAAATTATTCATCTGTTTATAGCTGGCACAGAACAGCCACTTCACGCCAGCAATGCCACTGCTGGAGGGCACTTTTGGAATCTGCACAGCCAAGACAGCACAAAGCTTCCCCATGGAGAAGGCAGTGGCTTGTGGAGGCTCCCAGGGTTATCTGCAACGTGGGCTGGGCAAAAGCAAAACACATGGGAGTAACACACGGGCCAAGACCCCTGGCATTGCACCAAAGAGCCTTAGGCCTACACTATCAGGAGCACATGAGGACGCTGTTCCCATATTGAACATGCAGGTAAAGCTTACCTGTGTGCAGAGGTCCAAAAGAGGATGTGTTAGGCCCTGACACTCTGATGGAATACAGGAATGCTAATATTGAGTAAGGAGCAGGCCCGTGTCCTGATGGGCAGCCCTGGTTCTCTAGGATTTTGGGGTAGGGTATCTCCCAGCCCTAGCTGGAGGTTGTTAAGTTGTGGGTGAACATATCAGATGACACAGCGATTCTTCAAACAGCTCTTGTTTATTCACAGGCCAGAACAGAACTCAACTGAAGGGTTCAGCCAGCCTGCTTATATAGAGCTCCACTACAATGCAACTGTAACACTTTCTGTAACTATCCAATCTCTATCAACCCCTTATTTGCATATGTGGACCTGAGTGAAAACTATCTACAGTATCCCCCTGCTGGCCCAGGGTGAGAAATTCAGTACATAACAAACATGGCCAGTCCACTTCCAGAGTCTCAGCCAGAGTAATTGCAGAATCATTGCAGGACCTCCTAGTTTGGGCTGGTGTCCCAGGGCAGAGAGTCTGAGAGATCCAGAGGGTAGCAACACACAAACGGGCCTTTTCTGCAGTGGCTCCCCATCTGTGGAATGTTCTCCCTAGGGAGGTTTACCTGGAGCCTTCATTGTACACCTTTAACATTCCTCTTTAACCAGGCCTTTGGTTGATTTGATTGACATATTATGCCCTTTTAAAATGTGTTGGTTGGTGGTGGCCCAGTAGCAGGGGAGGGGAGGAAGAGAACAGCTCCAGCACTGCTCTACAGCGCTGTGTGATTAAGAAGTTTAAAATAATATATACATTTTAAACATCCCATCCCATAGGCTGATGCCAAGCCTTTTGACTTCTGGCCCTTTTCTATCTCTTTGGCTTGGGCTGCCTTTCTGAGCATGACTTTGCACCCCTTTCTCAAGCCCATGTTCCTTTCTTGCCTGCTGCTCAAAAGCTACTGCCCAGACACCTTCCTGGAAAATGTCCAGACCTTACTCTCCCTCTGATCGACCATAGGTTCCCATTCCAGCCTACTTTCTTTCTGCCTCTCAGCCAACTTTCATGAGACTGTAGAGAAGGAAACCAAGAAAGAGAAATAAATGGGAGGGGATCTGATGGAGCAACAGAAAGAGGGAGAACCCTCTGCAAGTGACCAGCGTGGACCCCTAGAGACAGACTCCTGGCTGTCCCCCAGCAGCCTGCTGGGTGGGGAAGAGAGGGAGGAAAAAGGAGGTAGCTCAAACCACTTTTTGTCCTGGCCCCATCTACCACCTAAACACCTCACATTGTTCCCCTGCATCTGTTTTAGATTGCAAGCCTCTTGAGGACAGGGACCTTTCATACCCATTCATTGTAAAGCACCCAGACGGCACTATGCAAATCATCATAATTATAACAAAGGCTCATTTCATTCCAGCACAATAACCTGCAATATAAAATTAAACCAGACTCTGGCCCTTGCTGCTTTGCTTTCTGAATGGAATTCACAAAGATTAGATAGTCACCAAGGCCTGCTACCAAAAAAGAAAAGAAAAGCCATACTGGAGTCCCACTTGCCACCTTAGAGGCCATTTGCTCTGAGGCTGATCTCACATGCTCTGAAAACACTGGAACACCCACTGAAACCTGGCAGGATGTGCCATCAGGAGGACTGCTTGGGGATTACTGATTAAACATGATGCAATATGGTGCGCAGATGGAAAGGGAACAGAGGGGTTATTTCGATGGAAGTGTCAGCTTTGCAGAGAAAAAACCCCCACAAGGGATATCCTGCAAAACATCACAAGATACTGCTTGTCTATTAACCAAGGCCATGTTTCCCAAGCACTGCATGGAAAAGAGAGACTTGCTCAAAATGATACCACCTCTCTTGGAGAGAGCTTTTGAAAATAGGGCTGCTCCCATGTCTGTAGGAACACCATATACATTAGATGAGATTGCCTGTTGCCTGTCAGCCCCCATCCCACAAGCTGTTAACTAAGATTCTGGGGATGCCATGGAATTCTCCAGATGCTTAGGGGAGAGGTATCAGCAACAGACTGCCAACAGGTAGTGCTGCTTATGAGAGATGAGTGAGAGGTCCTTTGCTAGGCAGGAGAAAAAGATAGCTAGCCTATTGAACTTGGAGGGGTTTGACTTAAGATACGGTTGGCATGCCTACTTATGGTATGACAAAGTTAAAGTACATAGAGCATGGGTAGGTAAACTAAGGCCCAGGGGCCGGATCTGGCCCAATCGCCTTCTAAATCCGGCCCGCGGATGGTCTGGGGATCAGCATGTTTTTACACGAGTAGAATGTGTCCTTTTATTTAAAATGCATCTCTGGGTTTTTTGTGGGGCACAGGAATTTGTTCATCCCCCCCCAAAAAAAAATATAGTCCGGCCCCCCACAAGGTCTGAGGGACAGTGGGCTGGCCCCCTGCTGAAAAAGTTTGCTGACCCCTGACATAGAGGGTTCCTAAATCATATAGTAAGGAGGCGTTTATACAGTTTGGATAAAGTATAAGGACCTTTTAGAAAGGAAAACGCCATGATGGTTATCACCTGTGGAATTATATATTTTTTATTTTCCTGGCTAATAAATTAAAAATGGCCTCAATGGCATTGACACCTGGCCAATCAAGGAAAGGCTTTGTCCAAGAGGGAGAACCAAAGATGGACCTTGTGGAGGTAATGATGGAAATGCGGAAAGATCTTCAAAGCCACACCAAAGTGGTAGGTGAATTATCAACAGAAATAAAGGCTCTTGCAAGTAAAACAAGTAATTTGGAGAAAACAGTGCAAACTCTTCAAGATGAAGTCCAAATAAATAAAGAGGAAAATAAAGAAATAAGGAAGGAACAGGAAAAGATGCTAGAGGAAGTTGTGGCAGCCAGAGCAACTCAGGAATTAATGGTGGATAATTTGGCGTTAATTGAATTAAGGCAAAAAACGATGTTTTTGAGATTCAGATCTATTCCTCAGCAATCAGATGTAGTAATAAGGGATAAAATAACCGAGGCACTTGCATCTTTGCTTGAGATGCAACAACAGGACGTGGATACAGCTATTGATTGTGCATTCAGGGTTAAATTTCCTTATGCTAAGAAGAAAATCTTTCCAGGGACTGTCTGGTACTTTTTAATTCTAGAAGTATCAAAGACAGAGTGCTCCAGACATATTATGAGAAAGGTATTGAAATAGATGAAGAAAGGATTATAATTTTAAAAGAGATTCCAGTAAAACTGTTGAAAAGAGAGAGGATTACAATTTTTTTACAGAGGCCCTTAAAAAGATAAAATTCCGCTTCAGATGGGAATGACCTGAAGGGATTTCCTATACTTATGAAGGTAAAAAATAGAGGTGTGTAGAACCAGTGGAAGCACATGCCTTTGTAATGCCTTCGTGGTGAGTTTTTGGAATTGAGCATGGAGAATAAGAAGAAGAGAAGGAAGAAGAAGAAGAGGATAAACAGTAAAGAGGGAAGGGGGTAGAAGGAAAACTGGAACTGTCAAAAAATATGTATATGTATATATATATACACACACACACACACACACACATATATGATAAAGAAGATATAATAGAAAATGGATCTTATATTTATTTCATAGAATGTAAATGGACTAAATAGTGAAATGAAAATGAATAAAACAGTGCATATATTGTCAAAGTAGAAATTAGACATCATTTGCTTGCAGGACACACATATAAAAAGACAACATAGAAAACTACTAATAAATAAATATTTATAAATAAATAACAAATAAAGGTCTGGGGCAAGAGTTTATCTCTTCTGATTAAACCAAAAAGGGAGGGGTAATTATGTTAACCCAAACTAGATCCTAAATTCATCTTTAAAGATGAGGAAAGCAGAATGATGGTTATTGAAGTGAGACTAGATGGAGAACCAGTTACTGTAGTGGGAATTTATGCCCCCAGTGAACGGAAAACTGATTAAAAAACAAACAAACTGGAAGAGAAATTGTTTGATTTGTGTGATAGAAAAATAATAATGATGGGTGATTTTAATTGTGTCATTTCCCTTGACCTAGATAGAACGGTATGGAAAACAGATTCAAAATAAGGGAAATTGCCAAATGCCTTTTTTGATATGGTGTCCAATTTTGACTTAACTGACCTATGGCGACTTAAGCATCCATTAGAACACAAATTTACTTTTTTCTCAAATGCAAACAATTCTTCAAGCAGAATACACCTTTTATTGGCTTTGAAAGAGTTAACAACTAGGGTAAAAAAGGTAGAAATTCAACCTAAGATATTATCCAATCACAATGGCATATTTATGGTATTGCAAAATGAACAAATTATGAGTAAGGGGCAACACTCCCTTACAATATTTTTTTTTTTACCTCAGTCTAAAGAAACAGATTTAATTGTAGTATGGGATGCGAGTAAGGCAGTGGTGAGAGCTTTCCTAATTCAACAAAATACTTTTCAAAAAAAGAGAAAGGGGGAAAAAGAAGCAGGAGATATTAGATGCCTTGTTGAATAAGGCTAATAAGTTAATTGCAAAACCAAAGGATAAAGATGTGTGTGTGTCAAGTGAATAAAATACTGCAAGCACAATTTTTGCTGTTAGTTAATCAAGAGATTGAGATGAAAATTAAATTAATGAAACAGAATTTGTTTGAATTTGCTAACAAGCCACGTAAATTGTTAGCATGGCAACTAAAAAAAGAAAGAAAAAATGGC